TTTTATACATGCGCCATGCCCGATCCCTTAGAGTCATGCATTTTCGCGTCCGGCTTCGCAAGAACGATTTCGCTGTGCGGGGATGTTGGGAAACTTTTGGTGTTGAGGCTTCTATGACTAGTGACGTGATGGTGTTCGCAAATGTCTCCCAGGCTAGTTCTGGGGTGCAGTTAGCAAGAAACGTCCAACTTGTATTCTCAACTAGAGCAGACAGAACGTGGTATTGGGTAAGAGATTGCCTCCTTTCGAGCTTCGCAGCTGGATATTCGGCGTAACAGATGTAATCGAACTGCAAAGTCACGTGATCGCTACGGCCCGAAGGACTGCACACCTTTAGTCCATCGACCATGAGCTCTTCGTTAGTGAGCACTAGATCTAATATCGATGGGTTGTTTCCTGTTCTGAACCTGGTTGGAACGGTGACGTGGTTATACAAGAAGGTGCTAGAGAGTAGCTCTTGCAAATATGCCTTGAACACTTCTGTCTCGGATGCTGGATTTTCCAAGTCATGGGTGTTGAAATCTCTTGCAACGAGGATGTGGCTGCACTTCTGATTAAGCACGGAGCGAAAAGCGGAGATAAGTCTGTTGTCCCTTTCCGGAGTGGATTTCGGTGGTCGGTAAACCACAGAGAGAAGGCATACGTCGTTGCGTTCCAACCACAGTTTGCACCAAAGGACGTCGGTGACACAAGTTTGGGGATCGTCTATGAGCTCACAACGAAGGTTCGTTCGGAAATAAATGAGCACGCCACCGCCGTTGCCCGTTCTGTCGTTCCGGAGAAGTGACATACCCGGTATGGCAATCTCAGCGTCTGTGATTTCGCCGCTCAGCCAGGTTTCGGCGATCATTATGATGTCTCGAGGTTCCGAAGTCAAACGGTGACGGAGTTCTACCAACTTACTTATGAGGCCTTGTGCATTAGTATACATGCAGGATAGTGCTTTTGTAACCAAGAGTGAGCTAGCACAGGTTGTGGTAGAAATGGAGATTGTGCCCACCGTTAACGGGTCGGCCATTAACCGTTTTTTGTGTGGTGACGTTTGCCTTTGAGTTTGCTTTCGGTTAGATGACTGATCGCGGCCTTCCGGGCCCTGCTGGTCCCCCGTGTTCAGCCGTGTTTCGTGGGTTATTGCGGTTGTCGATAAATCTATGCCTTCACAAAGTTACATGAGTGGTTGGTTCAACAATTTGATCGCTCCCCGTGAGTCGTTGGTAATCCGTGGCAGCGTACCTGATGCCTTTAATCGAATTTCCGCTGGCAGCTTCGTGCGGAATTTGGACCAGTTTTCCAAGGCCAGCAGTAACATAAACTCAGATTGAAGCACCACCTTCATAAGTCTGGGACCGTTCTCTTTGTAGTTGGGTGAAAATGGAATCCTGGTCAACCGCTTAGCGATGATATTATTGAGGGAGATTTCGTGGCGGATGTAACTCCATTGCTCCCGGTCATGTGCATCCGCTGCATCAGAGGTTGAGTTTTGGAGCTCAGGAACCCCGTACACAATTATCGTCCGTTTCGCCTCGGCTTTACGAACTTCCTCACGTTTGCTCATCTTTTTCGGACGTTCGTTCCAGGGGATATCAGGAAGTATGCGCGCCTCGAGTGATGAATGACGAAGCCTGTTGGACGATAGTAGGACTGCCTCTGTGTCCTTGGTGGAATTTAGTGTCACCCGGAGAAGTCGGGGTTCACCGTAGTGCGCTGAATTTGGATGACGTCTGACTCGTCTCAGCGTTGCAGGTTTAACCGAAATGCCAATCGCAGTACATATAGACTTCCACTGATTACGATCATCCAACAGCTTCCCTTTTATTGTACTCGCCTGTGATTCAGGAACATTTGTACACACAACGGTTAACGCGCCTTGGTTCCTTGCGTTGGATGCAGATTTGCCATGACTTACAGACAAGGTGTTAAACGGATTGTTTGGTTGTTGGAGTCTGGTCAACTTACTGTTGCTTGGTGAGGCCACCGGAGTCGGAGGTAATTTAGCCGGTGTATGCATGGAGGCGACTGAGGCGTACGACGCCCGACTTTTCTCTACGGCGGAAGAGGCTTGCCCCGGAGCTTCCGCGGTTGCTGTTGAATGGAGGTGGGGCGTGTGACTCAAAGTTGTGGACATCAGTACTCTGGATGTTCGTCCGCTTTAGGGAGTTGAGTGAGGCAGGGGATTTGGAGAAACTGTGGCTGCAGCGCGGCTTGAGCGTCTAGCCCTTTTTTTGGGCCTCGAGGTGGAGCTTTCTTTGACCGACTGTGGTACAACCATGGCCATATTCGCGGCCGGTGGTGCAAGCCTGGAGTTCAACAAATAAGCGATTGTCGCATTCAAATATCGCACCTTTCCATGAGTGCACATAAACAACCGACCACTGGAGTTAACTGGCAAGTTGGACAAAACCAAAATGCGTCAGCTGCCTTGTTTATTTGCCTTGCTTCTTGGGCGGACTTTCCTATACAGCTCCGGGCGAACGAGCCACTGCAGTTTCGGCAGGTTATACCCATTTTAAGGGCTTTGCCGCAATTAGCTGAAGAGCAGATACGTCGTTGCATGATATTCGGCATAGTTGTTGTAATTTTTTCAAGCACGAGGACAAGCAAGATGTCGATCACAAATTCCAAAATGACGGGCACAGCCGTAAATCACTGAGATCTCCGAAGATATCAAGTGGAATTCCACGAAACATTCACCGATTGATGAACACACGAAACTAAAAAGTTTGGTGCACAACTAACACAGCAACACACATAAAATACAGTACTTCAAGAGAAAAAGCAGGATCCAGCGCGTGGTAACAGAAAGTTCCGCGGCGTCCGCGGTACGTTCCGTGGTACAAATTCAAGGATCTCGGTGTGTTACTAAGTCAGCAAGTGATAGTCGCTCCTAATTTCCTGATCATCGGTGAATTAAACCTACTGCATGCTGATTGGCAGAATGCATTAAACAGCGCGGACATCCTGCAGGAGGAATTGGTAGATTGGATACCCGGAATGCTTTCTAGCAATACGTCAATGTTTCCACCGGAACTCGTTTCTAGAGTACCCCTTCAACTCTTTTTATCATGATCGCCAGACATAGTCGCTTGATGAATATGCTCGTGGATTCACCCATAGATAAAAGGAATCATTGCGTTCTGACCTTTTCTCTGAACACACCGAAACTTACAGAGAATCGCAGACTGGGGAGGAATTTCAATCGCATTGATTTAACAAAGGTGCGCGGTCGGTCTCTTCAAATCACTTGGATGCCTCATCAGGACCAGGCCCCTTTTGAACAGAGGTGGCATTTGGTCAAAAGCCATCTCGGGTAGTTATTGAACGAATTTGGTCCCCTTCGCCTTAGTAACCATCTTAGCAAACCCCGATGGTGGAGGAGAAAGATTGGCACAGCTATAAGGAGGCGCAATACTCGGGGCTTCAGACGTTGGATGCAATACGATGGAGGCTTAAATATAGCTATTAAATTGCAACGGCAAGCGGATTACTCATATGAGCTTAGGTTGGCCAAGTTTGTGAAAACAAATCCCAAGTGTTACTTTCTTTATGTCCAATCAGAGGCTGCTCTAAGAGAGGCGGTCGACTGTCTATGGAGGATGGCAGCCAGGCTGTGGACGACGTCGATAAAGTAGAAGTGCTGCTACTTGTCTTCCAGAATCTGCATCGGAAACATGGTGTCAGCCTTGCCATCACAACAGCACTGCACAAATAGCCAATGTACAAGTAGCTATACAATGCAGGCAATTATTATCACTAGATTGAACCCATATAAATCGGCTGATACTGGCAGTGTACAGCCGGCCATTGTTTAGCCAATGGCTGATAAACTTCAGGATTCAGTCGCGGAATTATTCAAATCTACCATGTGATTGGAAGAAGGCGATCATTGTTGCCATCCACAAGGGGGTTCTTGATCGGCCCCTCTTAACTATATGCCTGCTACTTTGATCAGCATCATGCTGAAGTGCTTGTAAAAACTTAATAAGCAGGATCTGTGAGCATTCGATTGAACACAATCTAAGTAGGCAGAACAGCATCGTTTTCCTAGAAAGAAGTCGTGTCTTCGTAATTTATGGTGCTGTTATATGAGACTACCCGATATCTTGATAGTAGAATGTCGGTAGAGGTTTGCTATTTGGACTTCAGTAAGGCCTTTGACTCAGTAAATCATCGATATTTCCTTCAGGAGCTGACATGGTTTGGAATTCATCCTCAACAATTACTTTGACTTCCTGAATTGTTACGTGGAAGAACATTCAGAGTCAGGGTTGGTGAAGGAGTTCTAGTGTGGACCTTGCCTACAGCCATATTCCTCAGGGCTCGGTACTGGGACCATTATTGTTCCTTATCTTTATGAACGACCTGGCTCCTCATCATCAGGACCCCTGCTATATCTTCGCAGGTGAATTAAAGCTAGTCAGTAGAAGAAATCGAGCAACATTGGCTAAGACCATTATCACTGCGTTGAATTGGTCGAGCTACTGGGACTTACCTCTGAATGCCAATGAATGTCAGCTAATGACCTTTAGTGGTAGCGGGGTTGCAGTGCAGTCTCCTGCGGGATCCCTATCATTGCAGTGTACTGACGAAGCCCGCGATCTAGGTGTCATCATAGTGAACAGTTTTAAGCCTTTGGCACTGGTTCGCTATGTGGCCAATAAAGCGCGACAGGAGCTGTTTTGCCTCAGAAGGGCACTGTGTAACACTAAAGTAGAAATATGTTTGCTGTTATGTAAGGCAGTGGTTAGTCCACACCTGGAGTACTGTGTTCAGGTTTGGGTACTGTATCTCCGTATTGACGCTGTATATAGAAAACACTCAAAAACTTGCAACCAGGATGATCGAAGGTTAACGAGGGAAGTTGTACGAAGACCGTCTAAATAGCGTAGGATTATTTTCCTTGAAACAGCTCAGATTGAGAGGGGTTTCGATAGAGACATTTAAGATCATGAAGGACCTCAGTGGTATCCATCCCACCCATCTGTTTGATTTAGCTACGTCAGACCACTTGCGCGCGCATCGCCTTAAGTTGAAATAACATAGAGATCGTTTGGACATCAAGGAGCAATATTTTACACATTGAGTAGTTAACATCTGTAATAAATTTTCTTCTTATTGAGTGGAATGTGGGACTACAGATAACGGTTGGTCTGACTTTTTCCAGAGATACTTTAATTATACTGAAACATATAGCGTATTCTAATGCTGACACATGAAAGTACAAAGATTGCACTTGTTCCTGCTTCATTCTTTTACAGAAGCAAGAAGAGTCTATCCAAGCACGAAAAGCCGGGGCACCTTTCTCACTTACAGATACAAGAAACATGACGTTCGTTTGGCGAAGGCTTCCATCGTCCGTGGTACCTGACCTGACCAGACCTGACTTTTCCCTTTGTTTGGTTTTGTGGTCTTTCGGAATATATTAAGTGCAAGTTTCGGAATTGTAGCAAGTGAGAAGATTTAATAGTACGAATTCTCTTTGACTGTTTGGTCAAAGGAAATTATTATCACGCTGTAAGTCGCAGTCGTGTGCCCGTTGTTGGATTTCGGTGCACTGGCGTACTATCTCAGCATGAAGGGAGAAATGAAGAAACTAGTGTAGGTGCAAAACCTGGCCACTCGCTTACTTCCCACACTTCGTGGCTTATCCTATCAACAAAGGTGCCAAAAATTGCGTTTTCATACTTCGGTGTATAGGAGATTAAGAAGTGATCTCATTACAAACTTCAGAATCATTCACTTGGTGCACCTTCCTCAGTTGAGGTGCATGTTCTACACTACAGTTATATCATTCACCGTGGGAAATTTCACGTATGGATGATGTTACTCATTCTCTTTGCTTCGCTCGTCATGTGATACCTTCCTGGAACTGGTTACCCAGGCCTACTGTTCTCGCAAATTCTGTGCCATGTTTCAAGCAGCGCATTGAAAATCACTTTAACAACCTTGGTTTCGATGTGGGTCTTATGATCAATCTCCTCTCTTCGAATGCGTAGGTTACTGCTGCTTTAGCGGTCTTACAGCAACCAGACACTTAAGCTTACCGTTAGCATGGCTTTTAAACCGTAATTTACGTGGTCGACACCAGACAATCAAGCTCTCGACTTATACAGACCATTATCTTGCATTGGCCAGTTATGTTTTACATTTTCTATGATGGAGATAACAAAGATTGTTATCTAATTCTCCTAATACAATGATTCCGACTCTGATGTATGATAACGTTAAGATAGCTTCTAAAGCGTACCACAACGTCAGATGAAACACGTATAAAGCAGTTGCTTTCAGTTGTCGAGCTTGTTGACCCCACCCGATCACAGCTCCTGCGACACATGCGTTCTCTACTCGGTTCATAGAAAGGTTGCGACTCCATACTGCATCAACACTGAACTAAGTCTCTTCCAGCCAACATTACGGCTATCCTTTCAGTTCTTGGCGACGATCTCACACTTGGACAGCTCACAGAACCTGCTGACAAGCTGCTTGAATGTTTCTTTAAGCATACTCTAAATCAAGTAGCGGAATCTGTCACCACTAGCCCATCTTCTGGCATCGCACTTGATGCCCTTAACGAAAATCTTTCCAATTTGGAACTCAGCGTTTCTGCTCTTGGACATGAGTGCGATACCAATCGAAGGATTTCCACTCGAAGCCCACACTGCAGCAGATCTCGCTCACAACAGCGACAGTCACACAGTTATTTCCATCTTTGTTTTGGTAAAGCAGCAGATTACTGCCGTCACGGTTAAAAATACGCGAAATCATCTTCGATTTCGCAACCAGGAAACGCCCTGTCCAGCCAGTAATGGCGACGGCTGTCGCTGGCCAAGTCAACAGTTGCCTTCTGTACGTCTTTGCTCAATGATACAGCCGTAGAAATATGCGTTATACCCAGGTTTTTGCGAAAGCGCGCTCTGCAACGAGCCGAAAGCACACTACAAGCGACATAGGGTCAGAAGCTCCATAATCTGAGCCTTGGCTTACGACGAAATTTCGCTTTCGTCTTTACCATCGCAAGTGTCCAGAAGCCTATACTTAGCATGGACTTCCACAGCAAATTTAATCGTGGTTGATCTACGTTACAGGTTACAGGCTGACAGCACGTCGCTAACTTTCCCTTTGCCAGGTCGTCACAGTTAACCGAAAGACTTCGCTTACCCATGCCAGAAAGTACGTACTACTCGTCATTGCTGTGGCAATTTCAATCTTTGGTCTGTACAATTACTGACAAGGATGAGCCCAAACACGAGATTCCTCACCATACCTTCCACTTGTGTCAGCGAAACCGTGACGCCTTCTACTTGCTAAACTGCAAGCGGCCAAACAAAAGTTTGAAGACATATGAATAATAAATAATGTGTCAGCTATACTCCTTAACGGCGCTTCGCTGCCGTGCGACCACCACCAGTCACGCGAGGCCTGAATATACCGCGAGTACGCCCACCCCAACGTGGATTGGAACCGGTGACCTTATGGTGGCAAATCAAACGTGCAGACCACTCGGCCACCGGCCGATGTTTGAAGACGTGACCAATCTCGGTACCATCCTCCATTCCAGCAGATGTTGGACATCTCTTCATCATCTGGTACATAAACAGACCCGTGATTGACGCTCATGCGAGGATTATCGGTCTCTCAACAGCATTACCCTTCGTCCTTGTTACCCTACTCCATACATTCATGGTTTTCATTGGGATTAGCCGGAAAGTCCGTCTTTTCTATGATTGGCCTTTTTCGAGCTTATCACCAAATTCCAATGACAACTGAAGACATAACCAAAACGACCGTTATCACGCCTTTCGGCATGTACGAGTTCTTTCGGATGTTTTCTGACCTTTGCAATGACGCAGTTTATTTAACATTTCCTGGACCAGACCCTTCGTGGCTTAGACTTTGCTTTTGTCTACGTTGATGACGTCTTGATAGCCAGTATTACACCAGAAGAGCACTTGGAACACCGTCAAGTTTTCGAGCGTTTCGACCATCATGGAATTACATCAATTCTGATGAATGTGTGTTTGGTCAACTGTGCATCGAATTTCTTGGTCACCGAATAAGTAGTAAAGGCAGCAGCCACATTCCTGAGAATACTCCGGCAATCATGGACTGCCCACCTCCACAATCTGTTAAAAACCTACACCGTTTCGTCGGCATGGTCAATTACTATGGAAAGTCCATTTGCATATATCCTTGGAAACGACATTTTGAAAACCGCCACACAAGAGCGAAACCTTGGAGTGGTGATCCAAGATGACTGCGGTTGTTCGGCGCAGTCCTTGTAGGCGTCCGAAACCGCGAACCAACAGGTTGGTCTGTTACGGAGTGCGTTCGGGAGGTTCGATCTCTCCATTTCCCCCAACTGCCCAAAGAGTAAGTGAGGCCCATGTAGAGTACGCGATCCAGGCTTGACAACCCTGGTTTAAACACGACCTAGTTGGAATGGAGACCGCACAGAGACGAGCAACAATAAATGTGAATGAGTTGTCCCACCTGCAATACCATAGGCGACTGAAAGCCCTGGGCGTGTAGAGCGGAAGATATCGCCATCTACGGGGTGACCTCATACTGGCGTACCATATTTTGTAAAACCCCGGGCACGCTTCCCGCTATCTGCCGAAACTTAGCTGCAACACCGAATTGAGGGGTCATAAATGAAAATTTGAGGCCCAATACAGTCGGCATGAGTGCCGCCGGAATTAAATTTCCCTTTGAGTTCGTTACCTTGGAACGCTCTTTCGACTTTTGTCATCTCAGCGCCGACGTCACCCATTTAACTAAAATTACTCGACGATGCTTTACACCTTGTACATTACTTGATCTGATTTCTGTTTAGTGAGTGACAACAAGACGCAGACAAATATTGCGCTCACCAACCCACGAAATCGTGTTAGACGGACATACCTATGTGTTACCGTGGATAAGATGGTGTCCACAGATGTGTGTTGTACTTTGCGTAGGTTCATGGAACTAATGTTATTCCCACAAACCATCACTCGGGACTTGTCAAACCTTGGGTATTTTATCCGTATTACACCATTGTTCCATTGTTCACAACTGTGCTGCTGTCCTTCAGTCACTGAATGACTTGCTTAAAGGTAACTCGAAGAAGTTCACACTTACACCTGAGGCCGAAACAGCCTCTACTGTCATCAAGCGGAAGCTAAGTCAAGTGAATTCCTTGAGCTAATTGAAAACGGATGAGGTCACTCACATTCTTGAAACCGTACCATAACAATCCGCTGTGGGAGCTGTTTTACGGTAACTGATCGGCGGTTAGATTCAGCCATCCTCTTTCTTGGAAGCCACATCCAGCACAGAACAGATACAGCTACCTTAGGTCGCAATCTTCTCGCTGTCTACTTGGCCGTGAAGCGCTCCTGTCATGTTCTTGAAGGACGACGTGTTGTAATCTTGACTAACCACAGGCCTCTCATCTACCCACTTCGTTCTGCTTCCGTTCACTTTTCTTCATGATAAACACGGCACTTGGATTACCTCTCACAATTCCGTGCGAAAATTCGCTATACCGATGGTGCGAATACTGTTGCTGATGCACTGCACGTGCTCATATACACCAGCTTTCGCCTTCACCCATAAACTTGAGGAAATATACGTTGCCCAGACGATCGATACGGAACTTGCACAAATTCGATCGAACGCCTCGTTGAAATTCTGGCAATTGCCTGTGTTCAAATCAGACGCAAGGATTTACTGTGACGTTTCCACCGGTAAGCCAAGACCGTTTGTTCCCCAGTTTTTCCAGCGAACCGTGTTTGACCATTTTCATGGACTATCGCATCCAAAAATTAGATCCACGGTAAAGTTAATCACTGCATGTTACATCTGGCCTTATATGCGAGCGGACCTCCGGCAATGGGCAAAACACTGTCCCAGCTGCCAGCGCAGCAAAGTTCATTGACACAATATCATTGTCCCCATAACTGTCTCACTCCCTGAAGCACGTTTCAGATATGTTCACCTAGACTTAGTTGAACCGCGCCTCCATTGAATGGCTTCACCTTTTTCCTGATTTGTATGGATCGTTTCACTCGTTGGCCACACGCAATTCCTTTGCGTGACAATTCTACTAAAACTATGGCCCGCGCATCTTTCGAAACACCAATTTCTCCTCTCGGCCTACCAGCCACCGTCACCGTAGATAGAGGATCACAATTTAGCTCCAACTTGTTCTGTGACTTGAATCGATTACTGCGTTGTACTCACTTCCGAACAACCGCTTATCATCCCGCTACAAATGACCTCGTCGAACGTCGTCATCGACAACTAAAACTCCCCATCACAGACAGTTCAGTCCATGTGAGGGCTAATTTGAAATTATCGATCTGAAAGAACCACGGGTCGTGTGAGGGGCATGTAACAAGCAGTAGTAACAAATGTTCTGAAACATGGAAAAACACTGTGTTTTACTTTCACCTCCAACACTCCCCATGGGGGTACGGGCTTCGGCCAAGACATCAGTGTCGCCCGTACTGGTAGATGAGTCATTGACTCTTTGATCAAATTTAACTTCGTAATCCGGTTGGTTCCGTGCAGCTTAACATGTAAGATCTCTGACTTTTTAACCGTAGGATTGTAGGTTTGACTGACGATGTCCAAGTTTGCCGGCGTGCTCAACCAGCTGACACACGTTAGTCTAAGCGAATCCCAGTCGTTCTTCTTGCTAGTCTTTATCCCGTCAAACAGGATAGCGGATGTTGCCCAGCCGATCAATTCTTTGGTACGACTCTCAGACTACCAGGTGAGATATTGCATCTCCGAGTCAATGGGGAATTGAATCCTGTTTCTTACGCTGGACGTATTTAACAGCCCTTTCGGGCAAATCGACCTACTTCTCCTAGAATTACTGTTCGCGAACAACGAATTTACCCGGAATCACACAAGTTTCGCTTCGTTTTCATTCGCGTCGATGCGGTTGGAAAGCCTTTAACCCTTACCTATGAAGACTTATTCAATGCTTCATCCTGAAGAAGAATGGATCGAAGGAAGCCTTGAGTATTGATCGACTTAAACCTGCTTATGTCGAGCCTATCGTTGAAGGTTCAGACAAAGTTACTGTGACTAATTCCGGGCTGTTGCCCCGTATTAGTCAACCGACCAATGCTGATGCATCAGAACCTTCATGCAGTCGCTCAGCAATTAATTCTAGAGACACATCTTCAGGCCGTTCTGTTTCTTTCCCGTCCAAACCATCTGAGTTTGTTCCTTAAGCAACTTTCTCGAGCTTTTCCCTACCACTTCACCCTCTAGGGGGAGCTATGTTGTCGTTATTATTAGTTTACCTTTTTTATTTCTTTTAAGCAATTTTATCACGACACCATTTATACATTTCACCTGAATTATCGAAAATTATACCAATTGGAGAGGCATTTTGGATTTCACGTTGTGTGATTGGATTGCGACGCGCAGTCTCAGTGTAGACCGCGATCCACATTGAAGTGTAACCTGGTCACTGCGATCAGTGGGACCGTAGCGGAAACAGATGAAAATATACTAATATCGAAAAAATACTTTACGAAATCCGCACTCACTTCCTGCTGACTTTTGGCTGTGCTGTTTCTGCCTATGTACGCTATCCTCCGGTGTGCTTAAAACCCGGATATCTGGTGTGGAATTGCAATTGAACGGCTGCTTCCGCTCTGTCCGACGTGTTCGACAGGTGTATCGTTCTTCATAGCTAGGACATAATGGTGCTTTGACGGTGAGTTCATTTTTCCTGAAAAGTTTGCATTTCTTGAGGAACCAAAGCTTTTCCATATTTTACTTGGGCTACTACAGGATCCCCAAAGCGTGGAGATCGTTGTATCCCCATTAGATGGCCATTGATACTTCCTCTTCTATTTACGTTCATGTTTCGTCTGGTTTGGTTTCTTACTAGGCGGTTGTGGTATAAGCATCTAGCCACTTGTGAGGTATTTGTTTTGCATTGCAGCTCCCCAGGTCTATTGCGACCTACGTGCGTACTGGACACGGAAACCCTCAGAATATTCTACCGAACGCATACTACAATTGTCATGCTAAAGCGGGATTTCGAAGTAATGTCGCCGTCAAACCACGGAATTCACGTACGTTAATGTTGGCATTCAACAGTCTTGTGTAGGTATTTTAATGACGCTTGTCTAGCTATGTGATGAAACAATGGGTAAAAGGCTTTGGGTAAAAAGCATTGCTTAACAAGTCCCGTGGGATGGAAATTAGTGCGAAAAGTGATTTGCATGATAAAGTGAAAAGTGTTGTGGTGGAATCATCATAGACGTATGTGGAATAGCGGAGATGTTCGGGTATTAAACGTATGAATCCATAAATCCATTGGTTGAGTGTTTGGCAAGACACCGTTTGATTGCGTTTTGTAGCCTCTGGCTAACAAGTCATAAAGTGAAATTTAAATGAGACAATGCATCGTAAACTCCTTGTGTAAATATCGCCAGGTTGGGAGCAGAGATGACATAATTAGGGAGGGCGTTCCAACGCTGGCACACGCGGAGGGAAAGGAAATTTCTACGGCATTCAAGCTGGCTATACTGAAGTGTCAGTTTCAGAGTGACCTCTTAGGTTAGTGTTGTGATTCAGTTCCAACAACGGACGGCATATGTGGTTTGGGTCCTTTAGAATTTGGTAAACCATTATGAGATACCCCGCAAAAGCCGATATTGACTGCCGTGCATTCTTATAGATTTCAGTCTAAGCTGATAGGTTAGATGAAAGAAGCCTCTGAGGTTCTTGGTTGCCCTTCGTTGAGGAGTCGCGAGAGCAACGTGATCCTGTTTCTTCTACGGCTGCCACACGTGAATAGCAAATTCCACTTGCAGTCGCACGTAGGTGTTAAGCATTTAGGGAAAGAATGACGGTTTAAAACGACCGAATGCTCTGCGAAGAAGTGCGAAGTGTTGATTGCCGGTTTTCGTCGCTTTCTATGCTTGTTTTGAACACCCGGAATCTTCCTGTACCAATACACCCAGGCCACACTCTTGTGAGACCTTCTCGAAAGTCTGGTCTCCAAGCTTGTAGGCGCCCACCGGCTGAGGACGCAGATGTATCATCTGGCACTTAGCTATGTTCAATTGAAGCATGTTCCTCTTTGACCATTCTTAAATGTACTCTAGGTCATGTGGGAGCAGATCGTGATCTGGCTTGGTACTAATCCTCCACCATATCTTGACGTCATTGGCGGAAAGCAGGAAATTTGAGAAGATAACTCTTGCCAGATCATTGATAAACACGAGGAATAAGCGCAGTCCCGGCACTGAGCCTTGTGAGACAATACATCCCACCTCATTTGGGTTAGAGTGTGATCCCCTAACACATACTTGAAACTTCCGTTGGTGAAGGAAGCTGCCAATCCAACCAAGTACAGGTTCTCTGATTCCGTAGCTCTGTAGTCGTTGAAGTAGGATGCGGTGATCAAGGCAGTCGAAAGCTTTGGAGACGTCCAGCTAGATGACGTCAACTCCGACCCTATCATCAGCCACTTCCGTCTAACTACCTCGTGCAATCAGAAGGTTGGTGGTGCATGACTGATGTTGACGGAAGCCATGCTGCTCCAGTACCAAGACGTTGCAGTTTTCCAGGCAGTCCATTAAAGCATCAGCGACGACTGCTTCCAACAACTTCGCGAGCACAGGGAGGAGAGTCACTGGGCGATGGTTTGCAGCATCTGAACGGCTACCGCCTAAAAAATATGGGTGATAATGATACGCTTCCACATATTGGTGACTAGTTGTTCATCAAAGCACCATTGAAAGAACTGTGACAGTGGTTCAGCTAGCTTGTTGGCAACAGCCTTCAGTGCCTTCGGGCGGATGTTGTCTGCTCCCGGAGAACTATGCTCACGCAGTGAGAGTAACTTCCTTAGCACAATTGATAGGTTGAACATTACATATGTAAACAGTGGAGTCGGTAATGTGCGTAACATTATGGGACAGGTAGAGGCTACGATTTCGAAAATTGTGGTGTATTGTAGCCGCAGGGCATTAGCCGCTTCTTCGGCGCTTTGGACTCTACCGCCTGTCGTGAAAACTGGAGGGATTCCATGCTTCACTTTATGAAGATTATTGGTGTTCTTACATAGCATTTTGTTGTTTGGCATGAATGTTTTTGACTAGGCACTGTTGATGTTACTTTGTCCTCACGGACAATTGCAGTGCAATGGGTGCGAGGGGTCAGGAAATTATCCCAAGTCTCTCAGCCGGGATTAATCTTGTAGGCACGCCATGCTGAATCCTTTATTGCCAGGTATTTTCGAGTCCTGCTCTTTAGAATTGAGGACATTTTTGCTGGACCAAAGGATTTGGTCTCTAATGCTCTGTTGAGGACGTCAGTGAGTCTATTAACCAACCCTGTCAAGGTGACTGTTGTTTGCGCATTCCCAAGCATCTGCGTCGGCAAGTTCTTTCTATACGTGGTAGCGTGTGATTGTACGAGTTAGTTCCGACTGTTCAAATGGACACTCTGCATTAAACACACAGTTAAACGTTATTACTACATGGTCACTGAGACCTAATGGACTATCCATCAAAAACTTGTCAATCATGAGCTCTTCATTCGTGAGCACAAGGACGGTTTGTTTGCTGTCCTGAATCTAGTGGGCGTGGTTACATGATTTTACAAGGGAATATTATCGGTAAGTTCATGTAAGTTTGCTTTGAACTGCTCACTGGGCGATGCCAAAACCTCCAGATTGTGTAGATTGAAGTCCCCGAAGATGAGAATGTAGCTGTACCTATAGCGTGTTACGCTATACCGGCCAAGTAACGAGCGGGAATCCATTTCCGGAGTGGACGCTGGGGTGGGGTTAAACGACAGCTACGAGACATACGTCGTTGTGCCTTTGTCGGAGACGGCACCAGATTGAGTCGATAACTTGTATATCCAGATCATCATCTATTGTCCATAGTAGATCGCTGCGGTAGTAGAGTAGGACCCCACCTCCTCTGCTGGGGCCGTCGTTCCGGATGAGTGAAATTCCGGCTATCTCAACCTCAGCATCAGACACAGCTTGGTGTAACCAAGTTTCGGTAATGGAAATCAGGTCTCAAGCATTCACAACCTGACGTAGTCGAAGTTCGGTAATTTTACTGAGGAGCGGTTGGGCGTTAATGTACATGCATGAAAGATTCTGAGTTAAACAAAGTTTCGGAGGTTGTACAACTCAAACGTGAAGATTCACCGACCAGTGAATGGCCGGCGACTAATAGTTTTTCGGTGTGTACACAGTGAAGGGTTTATCGACGGGGTCATCACAAATCCTATCCACTTATCGCCTTCACTTATAGTATTTTGGTCAAGCGCATATTGTTGTACCGCTTTTTAGGTTGCGGAGTTCCTGGGATTAATAACTCGTCATTCTTGGATGCCGAAAGTGATTGAAAACGTGTATTCCCATAAATGTATTTTGGGGCTCCCAGATGTTGTACACGAGGTGGTCTAGAATCAGCCGGCCATTCAAAAAGAATGTTGGTTGACGTTGAAGTGTGTGACGTGTTTGAACGAATAGTTGATACAGCTGGTGATATTATCAGCTGATCGGAGGGTTGTGTAGTAAAATGTAAAAGGTACATTACATACCTTCCCACTAGTGCGCTAGTCGCACGATGTTCAAGCGATCAGGAGTAAAACCCGGTGGGAATAGCCGGTAAAAACTGACCTCTACCTGGTACAGTGCCACATGAAATACCCGAGGCTGAGGTATGGGAGGCATGTAGGCTAATGTTCTGTGTGTAAGGTACAATGAAACAATATGGAAGCAGTTCAGGATGGTAAATGAACGGATGTTGGATATTTCTAGACTGGATGATCCGCTTCTGCCTCGTGCGAGATGTTCAGTTGCATCCTTGGCGGAATCTAGAGAACAACAAACAGGAGGAGACTGGCAGCAAGCGGTACTAGCAAGTGATCAGCAGAACAAGATGATATTGTCAAGATGTGTGATAAACTAAGCGGTCTGGAAAGTGGACTCGCCTTCCTGACCTTGTCTGCCGCGTATTAATGCCTCCTTGTTGCTTAGCTTTAGATGTTGCAAGCTGCGGGTCATCTTCAACGAGCTGTGGTGTCTGCTACGTTCATTGTGTCATGTGAGAATCATTAGCTTGTTGTTTACAATGTTTTTCGATGTACGCTGGCTTAAGACAATCTACGGAAACCGCATCGACTTTACCATTCTTGTTGATCATATGATGTTTTTCGGTTCTAGCAATCACTTCGAATGGTCCTTCGTACGGTGGTTGTAATGGCTTGCGGTTTGCAACATTTCGTACCCACACGTGTGAACAAGTTTCGAGATCTCTCGGTATGTAACACTTGTTGGTGTATGCGCGTGTGGGGATAAAGTGCAGTTCAAGCATAGATGAACATAGCCGATGGACAAAGTTTGATGGATCTATAGCGTCGAAGTCGGTCGGTTGAACGAGATCAGCCGGGAGCTTTAACGTGGTACCATATACCAGCTCCGCGGTGGAGCAACCTAAATCAGCTTTAGGTATTGTTCGAAGACCTACTAAAACCAGCGGTAAGGTTTCTGTCCAACGTGTAGTGTCGGAACATACCATCCAAGCTGTTTTGAGATGACGGTGGAAACGTTCGACTAACCCGTTCGGTGATGGGTGGTACGCAGTTGTTCTTATACGATTGGTTCCGAGAGTAGTGGTTATCTCCCGAAAAAGCGTCGACTCAAATTGCGCACCGCGATCAGTTGTTATGGCGGATGGTACATCATAATGCGCGATCCAGTGAGCCACAAAGTTATGTGCTACCGTCTCTGCAGAAATGTCTGCGATGGGTACTGCCACGGGCCAACGAGTGAAGCGATCGATGCAAGTCAGTAGGTACTTGTATCCACTCGACGGCGGTAGTGGAACAACTGTGTCTATGTGCACATGACTGAAACGAGCATCGGGAACGGTGAAGTTGTCAACTGGTGCCTGCGTATGCCGTTGCACTTGTGAACGTTGACATGGGAGGCAATTTCTCACCATGATCTGCACGCCTTTGTTTAGTGCTGGCCAAACAAAGTGATCAGAAATAAGATTGCGAGTTGCACGGATGCCTGGATGTGATAGACCGTGAATTG